TGGGAAGAAACTGACTGAAGAACCAAAGATGACACTTTGTGATCTCTTTTTGTACAATTGGAAATACTTAGCCTATGAAGAAGTCTTGTAAAAAGAAGTTGCTAAATAGTTTGGAAACAAGACTGCCTTGATGTCATCCTGCTGAAGGAACTTTTAAGGCCACTTAGACCAACTGTATCAAGAGCAGACAATAGTTGGGTATGCTGTTGGAATCCAAACTTGAAGACTATGGACTGCATTTTACGAATATGCTCTATCATTGTCCTCCATGTTGAAAAGCCTTTCTCATCAAATTGTATGTCTTCTCTCATGGCTCTGCTTGATGAGATAAGCCCGATAAATGTAGTCACATGTGTCTGTACAATGTATGGTCTCTGAGAACACTTTTCCAATACAGTCAGCCACATGTCTAGTTTAATTCAACTATTGAGCTCTAAGGGTGTGAGCCTTCAATTGAATGGCTCTAGCCATCCTTTTGTCTTCCTCTGGGAGTTTAGTCAGGAAAAATGTCAGTGTTTCCCCAAGATATTGTCGAAGGCTTTCATGGCTGGAATCACTAGGTTCTTGTGGGTTTTTTCGAGCTATAGAGCCATGTTCTAGAGGCATTTCTCCTGACGTTTCGCCTGCATCTATGGCAAGCATCCTCAGAGGTAGTGAGGTACCTCAACCTCTGAGGATGCTTGCCATAGATGCAGGCGAAACGTCAGGAGAAATGCCTCTTTCCCCAAGATGTTGCTGGCACATCTCTATATAGGCTTTGTAATTGGACTTCTTATCAGAAAGATGAGATGGATTTTTTTTCTGTGGATTTATAATGATAGAATTTGATTTCAGATGATATAGAAGCCAGTCCAAACTCAACTCTGCTACAAAGTACAGTCAATGGGCATGCAAATTTCAGGAAGGATGGATGCAAATGGATTTGAGCTAGTGTTGGCACCTTAGGCTTAGTCTAATGATAAATATGATTAAGTTTCCGGGTTTTTTTGCTCTCATACAGTCTATTACCAATGTCATTGCTTTAGGACCAGGATTTGCTCCTTGACTTGGGTTGGAAAATTGGGTGGCATACACATATTCATGACACTATAACCCAAAACACCTAGTACTCATGCTGGAAGGGGGAAATTAACCAGATTTTTTCACAGCCCTAGTTGCCAAAGATCCACTAGATAAAATGTTATTTTGCCTCTCCTTGGAATAACAGGGAGGAAGTAAGTATTTTTTCTTCCCTTAGAGTGAACCCACAACCTCAACAGAACCACCAAAAGGTTTACCATCTGCCACTTCTCCACTTCAACCCCCTCCCTTTCCTAAGTTCCTTTCCTTTCCTTTTTAATAATCCCATTAGGCCTGTGCATTTGTGTATAATGTGTAGCTAACCATTAAGTTAAGCTTTAATAAAACCTTAAATATTTTTCTATTGACAAGAACAAACCCTATAAAACTCTTTTCATATGTACATTGTGAAACGTGTTTTACAAGACATTTGGCATAATTTATTTGTCAGGCAGAACATATTGACAGAATCAGAATGAAGCCTAATGTCAGAAATAAAATGCAAACAGCAATAGAGTGCAAGAATACAGAGAAACAGTGGGATGTAAAGATGTCCAATTTTGCAGAGTAATTTTGACTTAAGAATAATTATGTCCAAAAGAATCAGCGTAGGAAGCAACAGTCTCTGAGCATAAAAGCTATGAATGACTAGGCTATCATTAGGAAATTGACTAACTGAAGTATGATTCATTCAACTAACACTGCAAATACTGTAAATGAATAAAAGCATCTTCTATTGGAAAACTAGAATATTTTAGCTGAACATAAAATCAAACCCTTGAAAAATTAAAATCAAAACATCTTGAAGATCAAGATATGTTCATTTTATAACAGAATATAAATGATAACTGTTACACTGAAACTTGTGTTTGCTGCATTTACAGGACTAGAAGCCACGAGCCTAATAACTTTTACACAATCAACTGAAAATTGTAATTCTAAAAAATACTTTATTACTTGCAAATTTCCACTAAAATGTATTGTCAAAGGCTTTCATGGCCAGAATCACTGGGTTGTTGTAGGTTTTTCGGGCTATATGGCCATGTTCTAGAAGCACATGGCCATATAGCCTGAAAAACCTACAATTCCCCTAAAATGTAAGCAATCCTGTCTGGTTTAGGAAACGTCAGGGCACTCCATCCTCTGACAGCATTGACTCTCATGAAAAATGTTTGTTTTGCATCTCAGTTTAGCTTAATTTATAGCAAATCTAACCATCCTTATAAAAAAACCTAGCTATCCTCACAACCCATTCAGATTATCTATATGGTGTGAAGATTTGGCTATCAACAACAAAGTGATTAATTTAGAACAAGAGTAAAAGATCTGAAATCCTAGAAGTCTGACTGTTACAACAAGTTGTGATTAGTCTAAAACAGTATCAAAAATAACTGAAATCCTCGGAATCTATTCTAAGAGAGAAGGGAGGAGGCAAAACTTGTTTTTCTAATAACAAATGATAAGCAATTGTTATGTATCAGTATGGTATGAATAAATTCTGATTATAACCATATTAAATGGGAATTTCTACTAATTCTTAAGAACTATGTCCAAACCTATTGTTGAAAAGAGAGAGGGCGGTCTAGAAATAAAGTTTTATTATAAAAAGAAGTCTATTTTATTTATTTATTTATTTATTTACAGCATTTTTACCCTGTTCTATGTCTACCTTGAAGGTAGAAGTTTAGCAATAATTCAATGCTAAATAACAACATAAAAACAGCTAAAACACAACAAAACAAGTCTGGACCAGATCATTACTTAGATTTTGAGTATTACAATTTTGATCAAATATATGCTCCATTTGTATAGCTGAAAGCTTACAGTATGAACTCCAGGCATGTTCTAGGCTTATGATTTACCATATAAATGATTTAGTGAATGTAACCTTTGCTTTCAGTGGAAAGTATTGTGGATAAATGCACAAAAGTCACGTACACAGCCCTAAACAGGCATGCAAGAGTTGTTTTCTCTTTACTATTGGCAAAATGGTAAACCTAATAATAGATGTTATTGATTTTATTGATTCTGTTATGGTTTTATTATTATTATTTTGTTTTATTATACTGAAATTGTATTTTATGGTCTTGGTACCAACTGTAAACTGTCCCGAGTCGGCTGCGGGCTGCGAGGGACGGTATATAAATGCAGTAAATAAATAAATAAAGAATGTCAGTCTGCACAATTCACCTTGTCTGGTAGGTAGATAAGACACAAAAATAAGTCTTGTTTTCCCAGCACTAATAGAAAGACAGAGCAATATTTATTTTGTATACAGTACTTTGTGTAGCTATTTAAACTGCAGACAACATTACCTCAATTGAAATGAAAGACTTTCCAGCACCTGTATAATGAAGAGTCATGCTGGAGAACCTAAAAATGCCTAGAGAGGCCATATTTCACTGGAATTGGATAACTGAAACAGCAGGTGTTGTTCCTGCAGATAGTGGGCTAGAGATTTTTCTGTTGATTGCTATACAGATCTCTTGACTTATGACATACATCTTACCTCAACTCAAGAGAATGAGACTTTTTTGAGACATTCCTTCCATGCTGTTGGGATCTATCACAGTTAGATGAGAATTGTGCTTTCTCTGCACAAAAAATTGTTGTAGACATTAAACCCCATTCACCTTTCAGCCTCCAGCTTTGTCCCATATCAATCATCCTAGATCTGCTTGATGCAATGCCTCTAATGAACACCCCAGATCATAACAGATGATATGTGAAAGCCAGGGCTTCCCAATATTGCAATTACATAGTGATGTGGCGATATCTCTAAAAATGTTTAGAAGTGACAGGCACATTGAAGCCAGTTTGATGTTCAACAAAGTAAAATTGCATTAACATATCTAAAGGTTTGAATTTGACCCCAGCTTTTGATCTCTGATGGATAGGAAGTTTGAAATCTTTTAGAACAATCTGTCCTGTCTATAGATATATTTTGCTACATAAAATTTATTGTACTAATATTATTTGATTCAACTCCGGCATGGTTCTGTGTTGTAGAACATTTTACAAACCTTTGCCCTAAATCCAAATATAAATCCTAACTGGAACAAACCATTGGCGTGAGAAGACAACTCGTGTGTATTCCCGTAGATTCAATGGGACTACTATTATTGCAGTGGTTCTCAACCTGTGGGTCCCCAAGTGTTTTTGGCCTACAACTCCCAGAAATCCCAGCCAGTTTACCAGCTGCTAGGATTTCTGGGAGTTGAAGGTCAAAACATCTGAGGACCCACAGGTTGAGAACCACTGTATTATTGGGTCTAACAAGTAGATTTAGGCTACCTATATCATTTTAAAAAACTTTTTAAGATGTCTTATTGATGGGATGTGAGATACTGAAGTATGTAGAGTGCAAAAGTTTCAGAATAAGACAGAACCCCCAAATCAGTTAGTGGGTTGATTATTATTCCTGCAGATAAGAGGTAGATGGATTGAAGAGCTCATTGATCCTGAAATTGTGTAATTCTTAACAAGGGAAGAAAGGGATTCAAAAACACCAATGCTCTGTTCTTAGGATGATCCATTCATCTGTGTTGATCAATTGTGTATAGTCTTGTTTTTGCTTTCAATGACAATATGACACAAATTTTAGATGTTTCTGTTTTATGTAATGAAAAATAATGGCTTTCCGAAAGCTGTCAAGAGAGTTCTTGCTAAATTTGAATCATATGTGGTCAGTTCTATTAGTCATCTTGATCACTATAGACTATATATGGGTGGATGTAGATACAATTAATTATCACTTTTGCAGAGGCATTTCATGAAATATTTGCTGAATTATTAAAAGGGTGGCTGAAATTAAAAATGATGGCGAGAGAAGGGAAATCTAAGAACCACACTATTGGAAAGGCAAGAGGAGTGCAAAGGATGGGTACAGGGGTGAGGGGTAAAACACTAAGAACTCACTAACAGACAAAAACCTATTTTACCTGAGATCATCTTGTGAGTATGTCCTTTGCAAATCCTCTTTATCTCTGTTTTCTGCCCCTTCCTCAGTTTGTTCATCTTGGGCCCCTTCATTCTCTTCTGGTTCTTTGCATTCCTTCTTATCACAGTTCTCTGCCACCTCTTCCCCTTCCCCCTTTTCATCTACTTGTTCATCCTTCGCCTCTTTCTCAAGCTCCTGATTCTCCTCTTCCTCTTCTGGGAATACCTCCCCATCCCCTTCCTCCCCTCCCTCTTTTGATCTTCTGACGTTAACAAAAAAAGTGAGGAGCATGCAAACAAATGGAAAAAGAAGACAGAGGCTAATTAGAAGGAATGGAGAAAATTGAACATGCATTCAATAACCAAAATAAATAAATATATTAACAAACAGGTCATGCAATAAATGGGGAAATGCAGTGATGATAGAAAAGCATGCTGGCTAGTTTTTAGGAACCATCTAGGAAATAATTAGGTTGCACATATTTTCTTAAAGATGCACACAATCACAGAGTTGTAAGGGGCCTCAGGGGCTACTGAATAAAATCCCTTGTTCAATGCAGGAACTCCAGCTAAAGCATCTCCGGGAGATGGCTGCCCAGCCTCTCTTTGAAGATGTCCAAGAACATTCTTGCAATTACAACTTAAAATCAGCACAGGCCCCACATATTTATTAATTTTTCTGGTAATATATTGAAATTTATACAGATCAATCTGTTTGGGGGACACAAAGGTAAAGGTAATTTTTTCCCCTGACATTGAGTCTAGTCGTATCAGACTCTGGGGAGTAGTGCTCATCTCCATTTCTAAGCCAAAGAACCAGCATTGTCCGTAGACACCTCCAAGGTCATGGGGCCAGCATGATTGCATGCAGCATTGTTACCTTCCTGCCGAAGCAATACCTATTGATCTCCCTGAAAAGGTGATACTGGTATCTTGTCTGGACAGTGAATAGGGCTGGAAATGGATCCAAGTTAGCTGTCCAGACTGCCCTGAAGTTCCCGAATTTACCCAAAGTGGGGCAAAGCTGATTTCAAAAAATTAAATAAATACTAACCAGATACTAACCAGAAGTAGCTAAACATCACAAAGTCAGACTGTCATCTATTCAAGCTGAGTCTGGGGATTTTGGCAAATGTAGACAAGCCCTTAGATCAGTAGTGTCAAACTTGTGACCCTCCAGGTATTTTGGACTTCAGCTCCAAGAATTCCTGGCCAATGGACAAGCTGCCTAGGGCTTCTGGGAGTTGGAGCCTGAAACATCTGGAGAGACACAGGTTTGACATCTCCCCCCACCCTTTCCTCGCAACATTGTAGATTAATGGGATTCAGGAGCAGCAATCCAGGAAAAGATCACAATTTAAGTGTGCTTAGGTTACATTTAGATCAATGGCAAAGGCTTCTTAAGGTTTCTTAAAATGTGAAAATGAATTTCTATCATAACTTGTAAAGTATTGTTATGATTTTTAAATTATATTTAGTCATCACAGGATTTGCTGGCCTCAGATTATAACCTGTAATTTGAATTGTCAGCAATAGATTCATTTAGAAGTAAAAAAGATTCCAGTCCATAATAGGACAACACAACCATTTCACAGAAAATTAGAAATCGTTTTGGAAAATGTGTTTAGAAGCTTAGTTTTTTGAACTAAGTGCAATCAGCAGAAGAAAAAACAAAACAAGCTTGTCAGTGGCTATTTTATAGACTCTTACCTAATCTTCTTGTTCCCTCTGGGTCTTTCTGACTGCACAGACATATAGCTTGTGCTGCTGAAACGGGAAGCACTACTGGTCCTCGACACTGCTGAGACATCACTGACATCGCTGTCAGAAGACTTGGTGGAGATGTTGTCAGAGCCTCGTTGAGGATCCCGTCCTGATCGATACTGCAAAAGAAAAGAAAGATGGATAAACAATATGATCCAAGTCTGGGCCACCTAACTTTTTACAACAGTACTAAAGCAGTACTTCCCTCCATCAACTGTACAGTTCCTTATAGACAAAAAAGAAATTTTATATAGGGTTTTGCAGCTGCTGCAGCAAACAGCTTGCATAAAAAAGTAAAATAAATACAATTTAATAAAGAATTTTTTTAAATCTTCATAATATACACAAACCATACCAAACCTTTATCAGGCCAAACACTGTATGAACTGTTCTAAAGTGCTTGGATTACAACATTTTTGATATTATATTAATTAATCAGTCCTACCATTTGATTTGCGTAGTTACAGCTACAATGACTGCTATTTAACTAAAAGGTAAAGGTTTCCCCTGACATTAAGTCTAAACCTGTCCAATTCTGGGGTGTGATGCTCATCTCCATTTCTAAGCCGAAGAGCCAGCATTGTCCGTAGACCCCTCCTAGGTCATGTGGTCGGCATAACTGCATGGATTACCGTTACCTTCCCACCAAGGCGGTATCTATTGATCTACTCACACGTGCATGTTTTTGAACTGCTTGGTTTGCAGAAGCTAGGGCTAACAGCGGGAGCTCACCCTGCTCCCCAGATTCGAACCGCCAACCTTTCAGTCAGCAAGTTCTGCAGCTCAGCAGTTTAACCTGCTGCGCTACCAGGGGTCCGGTCCTGCATCAACTGCCATTTAGTTTGTATCATTTCAGCATGTGAACCTGCTCAGCACATTTGTAGGTTTATGCATAATAATGTTCATGCCTAATATTAATTAGAATTCTAAGCACTAAGCACTCTTCAGGATTCATTAACCAACCAACTTCAGTATTCTTGGGAACAGGTCTGTAGGTAGTGTTTCCAGCTTTTCAAAAGAGAAATAACAGACAGTAGCAAATCATGACATGCAGGGCTGGCAACTATCAAGTAGCTATTAACAAATTTGTGTTCAACATAAATGCCAAAGGCAAGTATTGCTTTTATTTAAACTAGCCATGTATTATCTTGTAAACTTAACATATTGCCCATACTCATAAATGCATGATGCATCTATTTCTGTCTTTATGAAGGGTCTCCAACCCAAAGTGCAGAATTTTTGGCATCTCATTCAGTTTATATGAGAGAAAAAGCTTTCCAATCCTCGTTTCTCTTATTATACAAGACCTCCTTTATAATAAGAGAAAAATGGCAACCCTGTCTGCAGGCTAGAAAGTAACTTTATCATATCAATTAACCTCCTAACAGGTAACCAGGCTTAATAAATATTGGCAGAATCCAACTTCTGAGGCATGATGGTTATTTAGAACGCTTCAATTAAATCTAATATGAGACAGTTAAAATTGCTTTGGGCAACCTGTTGGCAGCCAACTACCCATTTCTGCCTTTGCCAACAGTACAGGAAACAATAAAGAAAAATAAAGACTTGTTCTGCCCCTTCTCATAAAGAGGTTTACATCTGATTTTGGATAAGGAATTTATTTGAAGATTTTAAGAATGATTTTAAAATAAATTAGCAATTAAGATTTTTCTCAGACCAATTATTTGTAATGCAATTTAAATGACAGCACAAAAGCTAAATTGTGAGACACTAGATCACAAGCTAATTCATTTTCACAGATGGTGGTGGTTGTTGTTGTTGATGATGATGATAATAATAATAATTTTTATTTATGAAGAGTTTGCTCTGTTTTACAAGAAAAATTACAATGATCACTCAAGTCAGGCATAGTGATTTCCAGCTTAAATCAGAAGGTTTTGAAATGCTAAACTTAGCCAGTCTGTGCCGTTAGTTCTGCCTGTGTGATGTTCTGGCTCATTTCCACATACATAGTGATTGCGAACACCAGAGCACTATATGTCAGTATTTTCCATTTCAGCCACCCTCTTAATAATTGCAACAGTGCTCCAGAGGCATAACAGGTGAGAAAAAAGGTGGGGGAAGTGACAACAGTGGAAGTAATAAATTACTTGTCCTAAGGGGTCTATTAGCCCCTTGCTGTCCAGTCATTCCCTAGGGGTTTTTTTTTTTTACAGCCTCTCTCCAACGTTGTTACAGCTTTTACAAAGAATAGAATAGTAACGTTTCCCCTGACATTAAGAGCCAGCGTTGTCTGTAGACACCTCCAAGGTCATGGGGCCAGCATAACTGCATAGGCCGTGGTTACCTTTCTGCAGAAGCGGTATCTACTGATCTACCCACATTTACATGTCTTCGAACTGCTAGGCTGGCAGATTTGAACCACCAATCTTTTGGTCAGCAAGTTCAGCAGCTCAGTGGTTTAAACTGCTGCACCATCAGGAATAGACTAGAATAGTTTTATTTGTCATTGCGCTATTGCACAATGAAATTACATTCCTTCCCTTGCACACACCACAAAATAACACATCTATCCCTCTGCACACACACACACACACCAAACCACCACACAATCCCTAAAGCCACATCAATGCAAAACCTGAGTTCACATAGCCACAGATCTAGGATAAAAACTATCTTTCAGTCTGTTTGTCCTTATCTTTGTCAAGATGACAATAATTCAAAAAAGAATATGATGGGTGAGATTGATCCCCAAGAATGATCTGAGCTTTCCTAAAGCAGCAGAAATTATAGAGTTCTTCCAATGACGGGAGAGGCCAGCCAATTATTCACTGTGAAGAAGTGGTGACCCTTTGGAGCACCTTCCTATCTGCCACTGTGTAGCTACCAAACCAAGCTCAGATGCAATAGGTTAGGACACTTTCTATAGCACAGCAGTAGAAAGTCACCAGAAGTTTCTCATTCACTTGGTGGATTCTTAGGAGTCTCAGGTAGTAGTCTCTGCTTGGCTCTCTTAACCAATGTATGAGTGCCTCAGGGCAGATCCTCCTTCACAGTGACACCCAGGAACTTAAAACTGGCCACTCACTCCACTTGGTCTCCATTTATGACCAAGGATTGAATTTCTGGTCTGTTCTTCCTATAATCCACCATGACCTCCTTGATCTTGTTGATGTTAAGAACAAGATTATTGTCTCTCTACCACGATAGCAGCCAATCCACCTCATTCCGATAGGCAGACTCACCCTCTTCAGAGATAAGCCCCTCCATGGTTGTGTCATCTGTGAATTTGGTAATGACATTGCTATGGTGAACGGAGATACAGTCAAATGTGTACAAAATGGAAAGCAGAGGACTCAACACACAGCCCTGTGACATCCCAGTGTTGAGTGAGAGCTGAAGAGGTATTGTAATCTAACCCTCTGGGAACATCCAGAGAAGAAGTCCATAATCCAGGAACAGACTGAATATGACAATCCAAGATCCATGAGTTTAGACATTAGTTTATGTGGAAGGATTGTGCTGAATGTGGAACTAAAGTCTGCAAGAAGCATTCTCACATAGTTCCCCCACTGTTCCAGGTGAGAGCATGATGGCTATAGCATCCTCTGTCAATATTTTGGCCCTATATGCAAACTGAAGTTTATCCAGTGCATGTGGAAGGCAAGAAATGATATGCCTGCAGACTGGTTTTTCAAGATACTTCATGATGTGCATGCCACTGGTCTGTAGTCCTGAAATTTCCTGGTAGAGAACTTCTTTGGTATCGGAACAATGATAGAGGCCTTCAAACAAGATGGAGTAATAGATTAAGATAAAGACCAGTTAAAGATCACTTCTGGTGTGAGAGTAACAAGACCTATTACAGACGTGGCATTCCATTTTGTATAGTTTTCTCCCGATTTGCAGTAGAAATACTAAGACATAGATCCAAAATAATCTTAGCACAGTAACATATTCCCAAAAGTCTACCTGCACTGGATTATACTGTCACAATTAGTTGGCAGTGCCTGGCACAAGTTCTTGACACACACACACACACACCCTGCCCCACATAACGATCTTGCGTTAACTCTGTATTGATGCAATGAAGTTTGCAGCAGTGCAATGAATAATGCAGTGACAATAGTGGGCTTTTCATTAGTGCAATGACATTGAGCCAAAAGACAAATAAATAGTGCGTAAAAGCCAAACTTAACTATACTCAGAGCAGATCAACTAAAATCTATGTGATGGAAACTGGGAATTACTAATGTAACCTCCACTGATCTCAGCTGGCCTACTTTAAGTCCAGATCAAAACATTTTTTTTCATCTCTAGTGGGTGGCTGTGCAAGAATGATTCATCACATAGAAACAATCATGGACTAAGTTGATGTAATACAGTCACAAGCATTATAATGAATCAACTGGCCTGGCAGAAGTCTTATAGTCATCTTAAAAACCTTGAGCTCCTTGAAAAGAAAATATCTTAGGATTGTCTGCGCGCCCCATCTCTACCTGAAAACTCTATCCTAGTTATATCCTACATTGTCCATGTCCAGCATTATTTTTTAAATTTTAAATTATTGCATTTGGCCCAGCCATAGGTTTTAAATGCTTGTTGTTGTTGTTACTGTTTTGTTTACTTTTGTTTATGAGATTTATTTTAACTTTGTATTGATTGTTTTCTTATTGCTTTTACTGTTGATGTACTTTGGGCTCGGCCTCATGTAAGCCGCACCGAGTCCCTTGGGGAGATGGTAGTGGGGTATAAATAAAGTTGTTGTTGTTGTTGTTGTTGTTGTTGTTGTTGTTGTTGTTGTTATTATTATTACCCTAAGAATGAGGAGGACCGATATGTAAACCAGAGGTGGATATCATGCAGGTCATCCTATATTGTGCAACTACAAGTTACAGCAGTCTTTTACCTAATCTCCTCTTCCTCTCCAGGTCTTTCTGACTGCATAGACATATAGCTTGTACTGCTGGGTAAGGAATGATTGCCACCTTTAGAGCCACACAATTACTATATCTGATCTAGACTTACAGAGAGTTCCACTGAGTAATGGGACTTTATTTAGTCAAGACTAATTTATGCTATTGATTTCAATCTTTTATACTTGTTTTATTTATGCAATGCTTTTGAGACAAAATAAAGAAATAAATTTCAATCTGAT